AAGGGGGTAAGAAGAACAGGTGGGGAAGTAAAACGACCAAGGGGGGAAGTAAGAAGAACACAGGGAGGAGGGGGGTAAGACGAACACAGGGGGTGTGAGGAGAACACATAGAGGGAGGAGTGAGAAGAACACAGGGAGGGTGGAGGGGGGGATGAGAAGAGCACAGGGAGGGTGGGTGAGTGTGAGAAGAGACTGCTAGGGGAGGGTGGGGGAGAGGAGAGACCACTAAGGTGCAGGGGAGAGCTCTACGGGACAGAAGGGGCAGCTCTATAGGACAGGGGCCAAGACAGGGAGCTCTTTCACACTACGCGCACACACACACACACACACACAATGCATCCCTATACATACACAGAAACACAACATGCTTCCCTACACACAGAGAAACACACAATGCATCCATTACACACACACACACAATGCAACCCTTACACACAAAGACAATGCATCCTTTGCACACATACACAGAAACAGACAATGCAAACCCGTACACACATATGCAAACACACACACTTCTTCTTACATACACACAGAAACACAATGCATCTCTTACACTCAATGCACACACATACAGACACACACCTTGCATTCCTTATGCATACAAACACAGATTCACACAATGCATCCCTTACACACAACCAGAAACACATAATACATCCCTTATACACAAATACACACTGCTTCCACTACACACAAACACACTACATCACCTGCACAAACTGGTAACCCCATACACTACATACCATAAGCACACATATTAGATCCTCTACAATAACACATAACACATCCCCTACACACTCCACTCCCTGTGAGCGAACTCATGGGTGGGTGGAACATATAAGTGGACTTATGAGTGGGCCTTGTGGGCATACTCACAGTCAGGCCCTGGGGCCCAGACCTTGAGCTGTATAAGGGGCCCTCCCAAAAATGGAGCTGCTTCCAATTCTTCCAGAACATTGAATTTTGTGACCACAGTTGCAAACAGCCTCCAGAGATCCTGTTCTACACCAGACCAGTGGGAGCCAAACTGCTCTCCACTGGCCATCCCCATCTGCTTCGTAAGTGGCACCCTAGTATGCTATTAGTAATACCAATTAATCTATAATGTACCTCACATTAAAGGGACACTATAGCTTAATGAAGTGGTTCTGGTGTCTATAGCTGGTCCCTGCAGGCTTTTAAATGTAAACACACACTGTGTGCAGCACTGGCGTTAGTTCATATGGCAGATCATATGGGTGGGGCATTGTGATGTGACATGTGGGGGCAGCAAATTTTTATTTTGTCTAGGGCGCAAAAATCCTTGCACCGGCACTGATCCTGGGCAGGTGCACCAGTCTACTGGTGACCCACAGGAGGGGAGTGCACTGATTGCACTGCACTCTCCTCCTGTCCAGCCCCATCTTTACCGCAGTGCAAGTGCCCTCTGACCCAACAGTGGCTCACACTCACAACAAGCAGTGCCTGGAGCCGTGAAGGAGCGGGTATGGCAAAGAGCTACTGATTAGCATAACATCAATATCCGTTATAAAACCAGGAAAAGGTGGGCATGGATGGTGAACTGATTTGGTGGTGCAATGGGCCACTTGACTGGTTTTGCCCCCAGGCCTAAGGCTGCCAGCCCTCCCCTGAATGCAGTGGCTGAGTGACAGGCAACAGAGGATTGTAGTCAATGGAGTATATTCGAAGCATGGTCTTGTCACCTGTGGGGTACCTCAGGCATCTGTACTTGGACACATTCTCTTTAATATTTTTATTAGTGATATTGCAGAAGGTCTTGATGGTAAGGTATGTCTTTTTGCTGATGATACCAAGATATGTAACAGGGTTGATATTCCAGGAGGGATAAGCCGAATGGCAAATGATTTAGGTAAACTAGAAAAATGGTCAGAGTTGTGGCAGCTGACATTTAATGTGGATAAGTGCAAGATAATGCATCTTGGACATAAAAACCCAAGGGCAGAGTACAGAATATTTGATAGAGTCCTAACCTCAACATCTGAGGAAAGGGATTTAGGGGTAATTATTTCTGATGACTTAAAGGTAGGCAGACAATGTAATAGAGCAGCAGAAAATGCAAGCAGAATGTGTGGTTGTATAGGGAGGGGTATTAGCAGTAGAAAGAGGGAAGTGCTCATGCCATAGTACAGAACACTGGTGAGACCTCACTTGGAGTATTTTACGCAGTACTACAGAAAGTGTCTCCAGAAGGAGATATTGAGAGACTTCAGAGAAGGGCTACTAAACTGGTTCATAGATTGCGGGATAAAACTTACCAGGAAAGGTTAAAGGAACTTAACATGTATAGCTTGGAGGAAAGACGAGACAGGGGGGATATGATAGAAACATTTAAATACATAAAGGGAATCAACACAGTAAAGGAGGAGACTATATTTAAAAGAAGAAAAACTACCACATCAAGAGGACATAGTCTTAAATTAGAGGGGCAAAGGTTTAAAAATAATATCAGGAATTATTACTTTACTGAGAGGGTAGTGGATGCAAGGAATAGCCTCCAGCTGAAGTGGTAGAGGTTAACACAGTAAAGGAGTTTAAGCATGCGTGGGATAGGCATAAGGCTATCCAAGCTATAAGATAAGGCCAGGAACTAATGAAAGTATTTAGAAAACTGGGCAGACTAGATGGGCCAAATGGTTCCTATATGCTGTCACATTCTATGTTTTTATGTTTCTATGTGACACAGACAAATCTGGACTTGACCAGACAATTTTGTTTTCATTCAAATCAGATTGTTGCCCATTTACAAGTCTACTTATTGATTTTCTTGCCAAACATGTAACTCTTGCCAATCTTGACGAAATGCTGCTATCTGGCCATGACTATTCAATTATGCTGGCTTACTCTCTAATGCAATCTAATGCAAAACACATTCAATTAAAAGATTTCTCTTCACTGTCTCTTACAAAGCCTTCTAAAATTGATTACGCAGTACTTACTAACACCCCTAAACATGTCTTCTTTTCAGGTTCTAAGACTCTCCACAGGGGATTGGGCTCATTTCTATGGACTCAGTTTCTTGCAATCTTCCACTCTTTTTCTCCCCAACTTCACAACTCATCTCTTTAACCCCTTAAGGACCAAACTTCTGGAATAAAATGGAATCATGACATGTCACACATGCAATGTGTCCTTAAGGGGTTAAAGAGGCTTAGTAAATAACTACACTAATTTTTGCTTTGCTCTTAATGTGTTACATACCATACATATACCCTGTGCCTCATTATCCATTTCTCTTTTATGTACATTATTTATATTCAAGTCACAAATTTCACAGTGCTAGGTATACAAAGTAACGAGTATATCAGCAGTGCTTATGTAAATGAGTAAATGCAAACTCTTGTTGTTTTTTTCAGAGTCCTACCTGAAAGCAGTACATCTAAAAGGAAATGCCATTGTTTAAAGTATTTATAATAAACATTTTAATTTTTACAGATAGTGTTTGAATGCTGTCAGGTCCCTCCTAGTTATTACTGTTAGGTCCAGCCATCATAACTCTCACTCTTTTTATAGTATCAACATACATTGTTATCCAAAACATCGTAGGCACGGTATTAAACTGGAGTGAGAAGAATTGTAATAATGTGTGTCCAACTACATCCAAGAGTGGAATGTTACCTCTGTTATCTCTGTCTTTCTGTGTGCCAGTTTCTTTCTATTTATGTGTGCTAAGATGTGCTATTGTGCGGCTGTGTGTGCTTGTGTCTGTGTGCGTGTTGATAGTTAGGCTCGTGTATGCTTGTGAGTGGCTAGCAATGTTTGTGTGGAATAGAAGGCCTCAATTGGTAAAAGTGGCCTTGATGCATACAAACCTCAATGCAAAAGCCCAATACTGAATATTGTCATTGTTTGCGTTAATATGTAGCAATGAAACTTGGATTGAGTGTGTCCGCACATCATTTACTAACTGTTGCCACTTTAAAATACATATTTTTGAAAAGCAAGCAAACCTATCAAATGTGACACACACACACTTTATGAGAAATTTGATGAATCTGCTCTCCTTTGGCAGTTGTTAGCTATAATGCCCTTTATTTGGGTATTGACGTTCAACAACAACTCAATTCTGGTGGTTGAGTAATTTTGCTATGTAAGTGCTATATTCTTTTATTTGCTGTCGGCTTTACTGTGATACCAATTTTCCAAGCCTGATGGCAAGTACTCAGCTCTTCTATAACCTTGAACTGCCCTGTTAATAATAACATCATCAAAACCTTTATGATGCATTTCTGTCACTATAATCCCTTTGTTATTTCTTTGTCAGATTGTGAGGCTGGTAATTATTATCACTGTATTAGGCTCCCTTTTCATACAGCCTGGAAATATATGTTTTATATTTTTTCTTTTCATTCTCTTCTTTTGTTCCTTTTTAACCCAGATTATAATGCTGGCTCAGACAAAGTTTCCCCTTTTTAGTAGTCAATTCTGACATTTTGTGAAAGCTCATGGTAGCTGTAGAATGCAGACCTTGAACGTGTTTAACAGATGTCTGAACAGATATGTTTTTGTAAGCCGTGCTGCCACAATACCAAGTTGGGCATAGAATGAAGCTGAGATGGATCTCTGCTGTCTAGAACTAGTTCCATTATTTAAGACAAAGTTATATTTTATACAATAAACCCATTACTTCTTGCTGATACGTTTCTCACTCCTGTAGTGTCTGTTTTGACACCTTCTTGACATACTGATAACTATAAATTAGTACTCAATGAAATAGTATATATATTTTTTTATATCATATCCAGGGTTGGATTTATAAATAGTTATATAATACACATATAAATAGCAATATAATACACATATACTAATATACATGCCTACA